CGGTACATACCGACAGACCATCTGTCGTAAATTATCTGTCGTTTTCCGTCGTATTTCTGTCGCAACTACGTGCGACAGATATAACGGTCGCAAACGGTCGAAAATTTGCGACAGATTTTGCGTCCAAGTCCGACAGAGATATTTTTCCGAGATTGTGTCGCTTTTTAGTCGCGGTCTGTCGCAAATTTATTGCGACTAAAAGTTCGGTCGCAACAGGTGTCGCAAATTTCAGTTTTTCTTGTAGTGCATGTCCCATCAAAGATCCAAACACATACTTAGACGATTTCACTTGATAAGAGAAATCATAGACAGAGGAGACGTCAACATATGCAGGGTATCGACAGACGACAACATTGTCGACCTTTGACGAAACCACTTCCATCGTCAAAGCATGAGAGTCATGTGAGAGATTCGTTAGATGGCTTGTAAAACATAATTAGAGCAAGTGGGAGATTATTGGTTTAGGTGTTCTATGTTGCTTGACGATATGAATACCATGACATTTTGTATTGACAGTTCATGATTTTGGATAAGTGAATGAATATTTTTTTCTTTATTTGTTTTGCATATTTGATGAATAAGAAAATCCATGGTTCGTTGTGAACGATCCTAAACTCCCTAGTCATATATTATTGTGGGAATGATAATATATTAGGACTAGCATGGGGTGTGATAGATGATTATACGGATGATCATGGATCACAGTCATGGGTATTGATTTGGAACGAAGTACTGGATGATCCGCACATGAGATTGTCACATGGACATGAGTCATTACCTGAATCTCATGTGATAGGTTCATGATTAGATCCTTTGACCTGAGATGTTTACGGTATCCGACATGAGGAATGTCGTACTTTGATTATGTCAAACGTCTTGCGTAACAGGAAGATTATAACAGGAAGATTGTACCTCTCGTCCGGAGAGAGATATCGCTTGGACCTCTCGAGTGAGTTGAGACTGAGATGCGTGCAATCTAATGATAAATCATTTGATGTTTCAATTAACTCAACAAACGAGAAAAGCAGTCGAATCTGATAACATGGTTGGCTCCATGTCTTATGTTCGACATATGATATCGCGCTACAAAGAGATCACTATATGGACTATTACCGGCTTTCGTTAGATCGTGAGACTAACTCTATTCGGATTAGGTAGTCATAATATCTTGCTAGAGACCGTCTATGACTTGTATTACCGGAATGGAGATTCTATGTCTTACTGCTATTCCGGATGAGCCTACAGGGTCACACACACAGGAAAGGACAAATGCACGAAAAAGAGACAAAAAACCCCGAGTTGACGGAGTCCAGACCGACCGGTCCAAACTTGGCTAAGACCTATTAGGGATGTCAAAATGAGTCGAGCTCGTGAGCCAGCTCGAGGTCAACTCCTTTTTCAGCGTGCCGAGCCAAGAATTTTTGAACCCAAATAAAAATGAGCTGAGTGAGCCAACTCATCATGAGCTGAGCCCAAACAAACTAGCTCGGTCGGCCCATGAGCTGGCTTCGTCTTTATCATTTACCTCTCTCTCGCTTTAGTGTTTATTTTCGTTTCCCTCTCTCATTTGCTCAGTTTCCCTCTCAGATTCAGATTGTTCCCTCTCAGATTGTCGACGTTCGCCGGTCGCCGCTCACTTTCGTCGGTGGACACTCGCTGGTCTTCGCTCGCCGCTCGTCAGCCTCTCTCGACCTCATCTCCCTCTCTCACAGTCTTGCTCATTTCCTTATCAGTCTCGCTCGATGTTGCTCTCGTCGGTCGCCCCTCGGTGCTCGCTCTCGCTGGTAGCCGGTCACCGCTCGTCCTCTATCACCGGTCTTGACCTCATCTCCCTCTCTCTGTCTCGCTTGCTCACCTCGG